GCACCCAAAAGCCCTCCTGGCACCAGTGCTCTGCAGCTGAAATCACAAGTTATCAGCCTGGTGAAAATCAGTCTCGTGTCTCTGAAGGCTGAAGAATATTTTAGATCACAGGATATGAAMGTCTGCTCTAAGTCTCATCTCTTAACAAGTCTTACTCAGTGTTTATCCACAGCTAATAACATCAGATTATGCATTGTTGCATGGTATCGGTTTACCCCGAGTTATATTTTGCTCTAAAAGTAATTTTTTTCTCCCTGTGGCTGATTCTCTCTAGCTCTCTGTAACAAAAGCTACAACAATTGTGTTTTTGTGTGTTTTTTTCATCCTTGCAAGTTGCACAGAGGAGATAATCTCCCTGCTGGCTTTCARAGTGCTTCCCTGAGGAAGGACTTGTGGCACTGAGGGAGCTGGGTGTCTGGTCTCTGTGTCACTGACAGCTTTGGCTTTTTTTTTTGTGACTGGGAGACTCTTCACCTCTGCTCACTGCTGTTTTCTCCACCTCGATTTAATTTGTGTCTGTTCTGCTTTTGGTTTGTGTTGTACTTAACATTGACAGACTGWGTCCTTTAATGCACTAATTCCTTATTCTTCCATTGTAGCTGAAGAAGTCATAAGCTTGTGCATGTAAAGACTGGCAAAAATTATCTGGGATCAYACAAATTCCTAAATTAATATACATAGCCATCATTGTTTATTAGTCAATATTTTTAYTCTCATTTCCCAGAGAAGGCTTTGCACAGTGTGGCTTCTGTTTAAGACACTCATTGCCTTCCCAGGGTTCTCTTGACCCTTTTCTCTGGAAGGAAATGGTTCTTTACAGCTTTAATGGTTCCTGGTTATTTGACAAGGGGAGCAGCAGAGGGTGCTATGGCACGGCCTGCTTCAAAACAGATAYGAGAGTTCCTTGAAATTTATCTCAAAATCACTGGATTGCCATTTTGTCTTCCCTTTTCCTCCTCTGGTAAAACCCCATGAARCAATCCTTGACTTTATTGGCTAATAAATGCATTTATCCTTTAAAAAGAATCTGTCCATTTAACAGGTGCTTTGGGAAGGAGAAAAGAAAATAAAAGTAACTTTTATCTTTTCTTGATTTTAGCATATCTGAAGAGAGCAGCAGTGTCCCTGCTGGCAAAGGTGTAACAAAAGTCAGCCGCACCTTCAGCTACCTCAGGAATAAAATGTCCAGCAGCAAGAAGAGCAAAGTAAGTGCTTCTTGTCATTTGTGAAATGCCCACAGGCAGCAGGGATGAGTTCTGTGGTTAAGTCTTAGCCTGACTTTCTTGTCTTTACTTTCTTTTACTTCCTTTTGTAAGGGCAGGATTGTTGGTGGGGTGGTAGGAGCTGGTAACATGGGAAATCACAGCACCCCAAAACTGAAACTACCTGAAGATAAACAGGGAAGATTCAAATCAGATATTAGAAAAAAAATGTTCACTGTTCATGTGATYAGGCATTGGAATAGGGTGTCCAKGGAGGTGGTGAAGTCACCACCCCYGCAGGGGTTCAGGAGGCAGCTGGATTTGGCACTGGGTGATGKTTTGGTGSTTYAGGGSTTACASTGGTGGTGGACAGTKGGACTGGRTGATCTTGACAGTCTCATCCAGCCTTGACGAGTCTATGATTTTACTCTTTCCCCCCACAAAGAATAAATTTTGTCCTGGCATGAATTAGGGCTTTGTAGTGATTAATGAGTCTRATTTTTACAGAACCTGTTTAATAAAACAAGGACAGGAGCAGTCAGAAGGGACTGGTTGCTGAAGGCTGTATTATCTTTTCATCATTTTTTAACTTTAGCCACAAAGTTTCTGTGCACTGCAGGAAAATTGCTCAAACGGTGACCTTTAGTGATGGCCAGTATTTATATTTTTTCCTTTTTTTCATCCTTGAAACCCTGGAATTTAATTTGCTGGAAGTTAAGCTTTGCTCAGCACAGCTGAATTTCCTTGGAACAGTATTGATTACAGGAATAATTACATTAATGCTAAATACTTGACACGAACAGGCTGCTGTTGCCTTAGAATGTCCCCTACAGGTTAATATATGCTTGGGGATTTTCCTGGCTTGGTTGGATTTTTTTGCCTGAGTCTCACCTCGATTTATCTGTCTGACAGAAGCTCAGAGCACTTTACTGTCTCGTTAGGTGATATGTTAATATGTTGGTAAATATTGTTGGAAGGCCCTCGAGAGGTGTCATTACACACAGTTCCTCTTTTTGGATTTGTCTTTAAAGATAGAAAACCTCACGTGCCAGTGGCTGAGCAGCTTTAGGACAATACTGCAAAGTTGAATGCTGAAAAAGTAAATCTGTTTACATAGAAACYTCTGTGCAAACACCACTGGGATGTTTGGGAGCATTTTGCACAGACTGGGAATGAGACTGGAAGTTCATTAACTGCTTCTTGCACTTTTGGATGTAAAATCTCTAAACCARGAACTGGAGAGAGAGGTAACTGATCTGGTTGGGACAGAAAATATAACAGCAGTGCTTTTAGATRTTTGCTCAGTGCAGTCTGATTTTACTCGTTTCATGGTTGTGTCTGAAAGAGTTGATAAAGAATTGCTCCAAAATCCCAACCCTAACATGCACTGCAAAAATTGCAACTCGTATTAACTCTGATACCTTTACTAAATAAAAGCCAAAATACCATTCAAGTTACAATTTCTAATCTGCTCATGGTGGAGTGTTTGCAYTGCATACATTTCTAAGGCTCCACCTGTACATTTAAACAATTTAACCCRAAAGTTCTTGGCATTATGGACAAGAAGAACCTGTAAGGGTTTAAAAAAAACCTCAACAAAACAACAAACCTCAAAAGGGGAAGTTTGACACAGGAAGTTGTTTTTTTTTTGGTCTGGGCTGTAAGGAGGGAGGCTTCAGTGTCTTTCTGGCGGAGTTTTACTCATACCCTTCAGAARTGCAGTTTTCTCAGATGAAATAAAGTAAAATAAAATCTGGGTCTATYAATTGTAATGGTTCTTTTGGAAAATGTTGGAGAGAGTTGCGTAAAAGAATCCTAAAAATAAAGGGGTGTTAAGAGCATTAACTGGAGGGAATACTGATAGAAGTTGGTGGGAATTTACCCATGCCTGGCATGTACTCAGTGTTATTTGGGATTTTCAGTGAATCTCTTGCTATCAGCAGAGTGCCCTGATTCACATTTGTGAAGTCTCAAAYATGCTCTAATTTTTGTCAATTCAGSAAAAAATCTTTTTCTTTTCATTTTGGTGGAGAGTTCCTGAGAAATTACAATTAGCATGAGTAAATTCTCTTTTTTCCTTGCCTTTCATAGTAATGAGGCAGTGCTGTATTAGCAGCAGCATTTCAGGGTATATGGTAAAGGTAACTCCTTTAGGAGTTGTAAGAGTCTGAAAGGATTAGGAGACAGGGAGTATTTGTGACCTGCAGAGCAGGAGGAGTGCAAACACACAAAACCTTTCTGTCTGGGCGACTTCTGCAGCACTTTGTTTGCTGAAGTACTACATAGCAACACTGAGGTATGTTAAAATTCACTTTTTCTGTAGCCCAGACATCAGAGTGTTTAATTTACTGCCTTCTAMCTTTTAAATAGGTGGTCTCATATTGATTGGCGACCTGTAAAATATTAATCACATCCTTTTCTGCCTATAGGGGTTTTTTTTTAGCGATTTATTTTTTTAGCAGTGGAAGCTAGGGTAGGGCGAGATGAAAGCAATAGCAAAGCAGCTAAAATCATCTTCAAGGAAGTCAGCAATGGTCCCGCCCTCCCCTGTTTGCTCAACTCCTCGGTGCTGTGCCYGCTGTCCCTGGCTGGCAGCTCCCGGCATCGCCATGGGCTAATGGGGTGCAGCTCCTGCTGGGGAGCAGCTCTCCTGCCCCGAGGGAAGGATGTCCATCAAATGGAATCGATTCTCAGAAGTGCCTCAGATAACAGTGAAGCTGGTGGGATTGAAGCACTGGGAGGTAAGAGCTCTGTGCTTCCTGGGGTTTGGGATCCACCGCGGCGTCGATTCGGTGCCGCGGTACTGGCGTGGTGTCTGCTTTGGGACATCAGCCACAAATCCAGGCTTTACATMTCACTGGCAGCTCCAATAGCTCAAAAATAGTAATTTCTACAGTTCTTCTTTAAATAAAGTTCCAGTAACTGCCACAGGAAAAAAAAAATCTCATTGTGAGAGCTTGTCCTTCAGTGAAGTGGCTGGCAGCCCTTGTGTGGAGTTTGCCGTTTCCTYCTTGAGAGCTTGAGAGTGGTGCACCGACTTCCTGTTTTTCCTGGAGTTGTTCAATTTTAATTGAAATTAAAGTTTGGCTTCAGAATGGCTGGGCTTTGCAGTAAACAACAGGTAGGTTAAAATGCAGGATGAGAAATCTCCTTTCAGCATGAGGGTCACAAGATTTTCCTTGAGCTTAGGGTGATCTTTCCTCCTGGAGCTTCACGAGGTTTGGCAGCAGAGCAAAACTCCAGGCATSAACTTGGTACCATCAGCCCAAGGCTCAAACTGCACAGTTTTAGCYCTAGAATCCTGCCAGGCTGGATGTGTTTAAAGAGGGGCAGGTCAGAGGATGGAAAATGGGGCTGGGGAGGTTTCTGTGGGGTGGTGAGCCAGGCTGATGGCTCAGAGGAGGCGGAGATGTGATGCAATGCAGACTCTTCCTGGCAGGTTTTCTGCTTCAGACAGGATTATTCCATATGGTCATGCTCCTAGTTTTGCTTATTTGCAGAACAAAACAGCGTTTGGGGCCAGTAAATAGACTTTCTGTTTATGACACTTTGCAGGGAGAGACTCCGGTGCTGGAGTTTTGCCTGGGATGTGCTGGGAGAGGAGTTCTTGGGCTGAGTTTCTCATTATTTGAGTTTTTCATSCAGGGCTCAACAGTTTCCCTGCAGGGCTCCATCCCTCTCTCAACCTCTTCATGGCAGTTACTCTCGTGGGCAGCTCTGCAGCTCTCTGATACTCAGCCTGTGACAAAGAGCACGTGGCACATAAATAACAAAATGCAAAGATAAGTTAGCAGAAGTCTTTACCAGTTTCTGGTTAAGCTTCTCTTTCAGATGCCAGGAAATCCGCAGCAGCAGTTAAAAGTACAGACATGGAGCTGATTCGTGTTGTAAACATGGTGTACATTGGTACATGCAAAGGCAAGGAGTTGCTGTAATTCAGATTCAGAGCTTTTTTGTGGAGTTTCCTTTTAAAATTGTTTGGAAGAATTCCAAATCCATGAAAGGCTGCAGGGAAAAATGTTTCAGATTTTTAGTAYTTAGCATTTTCTGTCTAAGGTAGCAATAGAAAAGTAAGCAAAAAYGCTGCTAAAAGTTGAAGAAACTGTGCTTGTCATCTTTGCAACACTGAGCAGCCCAGAGGTTGAGTTGAGTTTGTGGAAGATGAGAGGGTCTTTTATGGTGTTGCTGTTGTTTCTCAACCTTTCTGTGGGGCTGTGTGTTGAGAGTTTGTAAAAGATCCATTTTGCCAAAAAGCTTCACATTGTTGTTTGGGGTTGTATGTGACTGTTGAAAAAGTTGCTAGTTGGAAGGAAAACAGGTGGAAATATTCTGGCAGTGAGGCTGTAAGGCACTGGGAAAGAGATTGTGTTCTCCATTAAAAATGCAGTTGCAAATCACGAGCCTTATGGTTTGGCCTTAAAAATTAACTGTGTTGGAAGTTTGATACAAACTGCATGTGGTATTTATATTTAACACAATTTATTTAAAGTGCTGAAGAGGCTGACGAGAGCCCAGAAAAAGGGTGAAGTCATTAAACCAAGCAGCTTTAAACAAAGCCAGAAGGAAATGGGTGCCTTCAGAACAGACTGGGTTTCACCTGCAGGGGTGAGACACCTGTGTGGGTCAATATATGTAAATCCTCTTCCCCAGGGGCTGAGAGTGGCTCTTTTGAGGCAGAGCTGTGCAGACACATGGCCATTGTTCGGGTGCTCCTGGGTCGATATCCTCACCCTGCAAAGGCAAACACAGAGTGAGTGAAACCACTGCCAACTGACAGCCTCTGGGCATTTTGTCTCGGCAGGAAAAAGAGAAAGATAAAGAGAAGACGAAAGAGAAGGACAAAGATTCCAAGGAGAAGGAGAAAGATAAGAAGCTGTTAAATGGACATCTCTTCACTGCAACCTCTGTTGTAGCCCAAGCAACCTGTTCCCACTGTATGAAACCTTTCAATAAGGATTCGTACTACTGTGCAAGTAAGTTGGGGGGTTCCCCCCTTTTCCTTTTATTTTTCATTGAATCTGGAGTGGAAAATGCAAACCTTACACTTTATTTTCCTTTTGCTTGAGGATGTAGGGTGAGAGAGAGGCTTTGGAGATAGTGATTCATGGAACAGCAGTTGTGGGAACTGGCTGAAATAAGTCATAGCTACATGAAGGTGTCCTGAAACCTCTTTGCTAAGCCTGAGCTCAGCCATGCCAGCAGGTCAGGGGGTTTTCTTCCCCTCGTTGGGCTCTATAAGTTGAGAGGACTTTGGTTATTTCAGCTGCACGTTGTGGCTTGGAGCTGAGGTGCTTRTCAAGATGGACAGAGGTCAAGGACGGCTGGCTCAGATCTTGGCTTTTATTTCCAGTAGGGGAAAAAAGAATCCCACCCATCTGTGGTGTATTTCTCTGAAATACTGCTTCAGTGAACCCACAGTGAGAACCACATGGTACAAAAAGGAAATAGTGACCCTCTGTTCCCTTTGTACCAGAAATTGCATCACAGGTCAGATGACAGCTACCTGTGYGTGTGTGAAGGACGTGCACAGTGCTGGCAGGAAGGGAACCTCATGGAGGGTTTCTGACAGATTGGGGATTTTGTTCTCTTTTATCAGATGGTTTCTCATGCCTGCAGCTCAATAAGGTCAGCAGTGTTTGTGTGGTCAAGCCCAGAGTGCTGCCTGTTTCACACAGCAGCCCAAAGCTACAGAATATGCWGACAAAAATGTCTTTTTCCCACTGCAGCTCAGTGGGAAAGGCTCTCCTCTCCTCACTATTAGCAATTTTTTACTCCAGTGGCTTAGAAATGAGTCAAAGCAAGAGTGGGAAGTGCTCCCAGGCTGGAGCCTTGGGTTCCTTCTGGTGGAYGTGAGCAGGGGAAGGAGCAGCCAAGCTGAATCCCGAACCTCRGCCTTTCCTGGAAGAGATTTCAGCAGAGACACACTCTGATGGGAAATGGAAAACATCAACAATTACAAACTCTCAAATGCATCCTCTCCCCACTTGAYTTTCTCAACAGCTGCTGAAGCCACTTAGAAAATCCAATATATCCAAGTTTAATGCTCTGTATGCTAATGTGTTTTAAAAAAAAAACACTATATGATATATTTTAGCATTTTATTCCTTGTTTTCAAAGTATGATGGAAAATTACCGTAAGTTTTCTACATTGGCCAGAAAATGAATGTCATAAAAAAAGGTTTGGGGAGGACCTAGGTTGGGAACTCACATCTGAGAATTGTTCTTTCTCCCATTTCATCTTTAAATCAACCTCAGATGYTTTGGAAATGATGATTTACAAGCAGAGGAGGCTCTGACATTCCTGTGCTGTTGTAGGCTGGTGGTGTCATCACTGCTCTGTCTCACCTGTTTCTTAATTTTGACTTTTTCTACATGCCTTTTAAAGCACTTGATGCTTTTAAATCAATGTCTCAGCTTTTCAGTGATGCCCCCCAGCTTCCTGAAACATCAACTCAGTGCTGAAAGATTGAGCGTGCTCTGAAACATGGGCAAACAAAAAGTCTCATTTTTAGCAGCTTTCTGCCTTTTTTTTATGATCAGTGATGCAGAGAATAAGGTTTTGGGGGTTTAAGTTACTAATGCTAGTGACACAGAGGAGTTAGAGGAACTTCCTGCTTGCTGAAGAGTTGAAWTAGAGGAATAAAGTCCCTACTACCAGATTTTTTAATATAAAAAATACAAATTCTTGCCAAATGTACATACTGAAGAGCTGCCTTCAGGCTTTTGAGGCTTGAGTGTGGATTTTGTGATTCTGAATTGTCTCACTGCTTCTCTTCATGCACCATGAGCAGGTTCTGTCCTTCTTCCTTGTTTGGTCCTAAATATTACAGTGCTTGTGGGTTTTGCAAGAGCTTTTGGTTTGCTTTTTTCTGTCTTCTSTTGCACAGGAAATTGTGAGGCTTTGTCAGAATAGCAGCACCCTATGACCTTACCCTTATCTTTGTCAAAATACTAGAATTACTGGCTTTTATTGAGTTATCCCAGATGAAAGAGATTCTAGAAATGTGAGCATATTTTGTTGTTCTGGACAGAATTTTTTGTTCTCTTTCTTCTTTAAGAAATAATGCAGAACTTCACACTTACAGTGTAACATTCATGTAAAATACAATTTATTATCTGCGTTAGTGTTGTCATGAATGAGTGGAAATACTTTTCTCTAAGCTAATGAATGTCATCTTGAGTTGTGATCTTTCCTCTGCCAAAAGAGTTAAAGCCTCAAACCCAATTATCAATGGTTAGGGGGGAAAAAAAAAACAAAAACAAACAAACCCACTTTTTAATTGTCTTTGAGAACTTTAATTCCCAGAAATCTGCTGGCAGAGATCATGGGCAGAGTAAGGGTATTGAAAAAAAAAAACCCAAACCACCCAGCACTGGTGAATATCGTGGTTTTGGACCAAAACTTCAGTTTCCAGCAGGAAATCCGGAGCTCATGGTCATGGTCACTGACAGATGCTGCTCCTGTTCCCTTTTCTGGCAGCCCTGTAATACAGCAGCACTTGGGGTCTGTGCTGCAGATCTTACCCATATCTGAGTTTGTGTAAATGAATTTCCCCCTCCTCTTCCTGTCTTTTAGATCTCATAGTTCTTGTCTTGATGAGAACAGTGTTTGTCTTTTCAGAGAAATATTGGCCTTACAACTGGTTTCTGCTTCTGTCTCCTGCTTTCCACCTTGCTTTAAAATGGTTTTTTTTTCCTTTTTTTCTCTTTAAGACCCCATGCAACTCAACCTTGCATTGATTTTTAAACAGAATTTCCTGTTAAATTCCACAAGGAAATGCTRTTAACAAACCAAAAGCTAATTATCCTAGAAAGCAGCTTGTCTCTCAGCATTTGTTGCTACTCGTAGAAACCACAATRAAGCCTGAAAGTTACAATTCTCAGTTGTGTGAGTTAAAAGTTCAGATTGCAAACAGCAAAAACTGACTGTCTTCTGTGGGGTTTTAGTAATTCGTTGGTTTTGGGTTTTTTTTTTTTTTACAGACTGTAATGCAATTGTTCACAAAGGCTGTAAGGAGAGTTTTGCTTCTTGTGCAAAGGTCAAGATGAAGGTAAGAGATTTCATCTACTCTAGTGAATCAACAAAAAAGTTTATGCAGCTRTATAACACTTTYTACCATATGTCACCAAGTTTCCATWTTCTTGTAAAGAACTTCAGCCCCTATGCCGAGGCTTTCACAAAATGAAAACTGTTAAATACTCTGTTTATATGAGGAACACACAGTTTGTGCTTACCCCAAATGCAAGGAACCTGCTTCTCCAAGCTAAATAATGTTGGTGCAATTATGATTTCAGTTCACTTCAGTATTGTCAGCACTTTCACATTTTCATATTTGCTGCACATTTCTCCATCTGTTTTTTGCCCATTTCATTCAGGGGAAAAKAAATACATTTAAAAATACACATACACTGAAAGGATTCAGAGGAAAACTTAGCTTTTTCTGTTTTAGTTATGAGGCACAACCTTCTGGGAGCAGGGAGGAAGAAATTAAAGTGAATTTAATTTTTCTTTCAGCCACAGAGAGGGATGCTGCAGGCACACGATACCTCCTCGTTACCCACAGTAACCATGAGAAACAAAAGTAAGACAATTTCCTTTTCCTTTCCTTTTGTGGTCTGCATATGTTTTGCTGATTGATATTTGATATTATGAAAGATAAGCTTTTATCAAAGCAGGGATGAGAGCATCCTCTGTGCATGCAAAGCAATATTGGAGATTTCAGAAGCTGTACAGATTTCACTCCCTTCTGCAGTGTCCATGTAGCTTTAAGCAAATGTAAAATAATCTCAGATTTAGAATAACTACTTGTGTGCTGTAGCTTGCTGAATGTCTGTAGCTGTTAAATCCACAAAATATGGAAGATGCARCCTATGTCTGTGGGGTCTGACATTGTAAAGAATCCAGCTATGAGTATTAAGTGGAGAGGATTCAAAATACAATTATTTTTGTTTTAATTCAATAGTCTTGGGCTTTGAGGTAAAAAAAAMCAAAGTTTAATTTTGAATAGAAAGAATACTGACAAATGCTGAGATACATACTGCACTGCAGAGTGACCCAGAGTGGGTCAAGGGTAAAGAACAGGTGTGCAATAGCCCAAATTGCTTTTATAGTGCCATGATTTGATAAGCTGAAGTGATAAGATTTTATAAGTGATRGCTTGGAGGTTTCTGTATGGAACCATGCTGTATGATACAGTTGTGGTCTTTATCATGAAGTTCAGAGGTATTGTTCCAGAGAGCAGAAATTCATCTGAAGGAGGAAAAACCTGGGAATTAATATGAACAGATTAGTTAAAGGTATATGATGGTTTAATGAAATAGGGATTGTCATTTCTCTGGGGTGCATACTGATAAGAGAAACTGATCTCAGTTTGAGAAGCAGCAAGATTTAGATGATTGTGGGCCCAGGGAAGTAAAAAGGCAACAGAGTAGATTGCAGCATGATTATTTGTGGAAGAAATCAAATTTACTTTCCCAAGTTCATGTTTCTGGAGCTGTGAGGTGCAGAGGTGCAGTGAGTTCTGCACAGGGGTTGATGTTCTTCCCTTCCTGTGGCTGTTCCTATCTGCTCACATCCCCTGGGGATGATTCTAGAAAGAAAAGGCAGTGGATTTCAGAGTCTGGATCCCTTTAAGTCATCCTCACCCCGGTTTGCAGTGGTTGAGGTGTTTGCTGGGCTGACTGTTCCCCACCATTCCATTCCAGGCTCACAGCCCAAGGAGCGCCCACGTTCTGCAATCCTCACTCCTGACGAGAGCACCGTCACCTCCATCTTCAACAACAGGAGATCCCAGCAGCCCACAGCACTCTCCAAAAGTGTCTCCATACAGAACATTGCAGGGTGAGCTTCCTCTCTGCATGTGTGAGCCTGTGTGTGTGTGTGTGTGTGTGTGTGTTATCTGGCACTGCCAATGGAAAGCAATTCAGATCTCACTAAAAATCAATTCACGTGCTGCCCCTTCATTGAAGGTACAGAAGAGATCACAGACACAGAAATATCCATGTTCTGTGTGATACCATCAGTTATCTCCTGCACAGTCTGATTGTCTGGGTTGGTTTGGTCATGGCAGGAGTTCAGAGGCACAGCTGAGCTGGCCTGGTAGRTTCAAGGCCACTTCACAGAGATGCTCTGGGAAAAAAATCCCTTTCTTGGGCTGGATACTGTACAAGCACACATTCACAGCTCAGGTGTAGTAGTAACTTTTGTGTCCATAACAAAAGGGTGAAGGCATAGAGCTGCAGTCTTCCCTTTTTTAGACTGCATTATACAGAATTCATTACAAAAAAAGGTAAAAGAAAATCTAATTKATGGTTCCTACCATAGTTGCATATTGAGCAGCTCCACATGTGAGGCAGTAGCATGGACTGACATGTTCTGGGGAGTTGGAGTGTCCTGGCTATTCATGGGGAATTGAATTTCAGTCCATTTTTTTGATGTTTCTCAGAGCTAGTGATAAGGACTCTTGTACAGCCTTTGGTGTTGCATTTTTTGCACTGTTTGCTCCAAGGGCAATGAGGATGGGACATGACTGGAATGGAGTTATTCAAACTATAAAAYCTCAGGAGTGGTTCTTTATGGAAAMCACCACCACTCAGAATTGCAGCACATGCAGCTTCTGAGCTCCAGTGGGTAGTTGGTAAACAACTCACAAAAGCACATTTCTGTACGTAATCATGCAGTGCTGGCTTTGTTTTTCAATTCACATTTAAAATGCATTTATTCTGCTTATCTGAAAGTACATTTGGCTGGGTTTTTGTCAACAAACAATATTCCGTGTTCTGTTTTTCTGCAGAGTTGGGAACGATGACAGCTTAATACACACTTGGAAATTCCTGTCACAGTCAACAGACTCTTTACATAAAATCAGCCGGGTTAATGAATCCATGGAGTCACTGGTTGATGAAGGTAAGAGATCTACATGGCATTTATAGGAAAAGGAAGGTCTCAGTGCTGCTTTCCACAAATAGAAAATCTGTTTTCAGCAAGTGTCTTCCTTTCTAATGAACAATTAAAGTGCATTTATTTTAATCTTAGAATATTAGTATGATAAACTAAAACAATGGCCCACATAGTAATTTCTTTAGCTTGTTGAATTATGGAAAAACATTTAGAAGGTTTCAGTTACAGTTGAGTTACCTGGAATTTAGCTCAGGAACAAATATTTCCTCTTCTGTTGTGATTTTTTATTTAACTGCAGTGCTGTTGTATTGCATATTAAGAATACATTGTCTGAGCCAGAGTTTGCTCTATGTGAAAATGGTGAACAGGAAACTAGGAACCAACATTTAAAGTGTTTTTTCATAACTAATCCTTACGTGTAATATGATCTTTTGTGTCAGTGGAGGAGAATRTGTGTGATGTCTGTAGTGTGACTGACAACGCCTAAACCTAAATGATTAGAAAAGAATCTCAAATGGGACAAGTTACCCACATCTTAATGTTACTTAATTTGGTTTGTGAAGGTGCAGACATGAATGAAGGACAGCTCATGGGAGACCTGGAATTAGATTCCAAGCAGCTGGAGGCAGAGTCCTGGAGCCAAGTAGTGGACAGCAAGTTCCTACAGCAGCAAAACAAAGATGTTGTCAAACGGCAGGATGTGATTTATGGTGAGACATCTGCACCTTCACTTTTCACTGCAGACAATTTCATTGTAGACAGCTCYTTGGTGTACTTACATACATTTGGGAGGTTTTAGGCTGGTGAATAGGAGCATTGCTTTGGTTTCCTCAAAAGCCAAACTCTCATTCTTGAYGTTCTTAGAAATGGAATGCATTATGTGAAAGCTTTCTTTCTGCATATCCAGAAGCCATCAAAACCCCAGAATTGCTTCTCCTCAATTGTCTGCTGCTGACTGGGTTACAGCACCAGCAGCTAGGTAGGAAGTCTTCCCCTGTGGGATTCAGAAGCCATTCTGTATGGCAAAAGTGGGATATGTGGAGGCTGCCAGTGAGGTTTAGCAAGGAGAAGATGCCAGGGCTGAAGGTTGGGACCTCAGCAGCAGCATCCAGAGCTCTCTGTTGTGGGACTCCTCTTCCCCCTGTTTATCTCACGTGAAACTCATTGATGTTTCAATTCCTGACATGAAATTTTCTGAGGCAACTTGGAGAAACCCAGCTATGGGAAAGCTTTCCAAAGGCAGCTTTTCCTTGTGCTGTAACCCATGAWCTCCTGTCCTCGTCCTCTGCAGAGCTCATGCAGACAGAAATGCACCACGTCCGTACTCTGAAGATCATGAATGATGTGTACAGTGCAGCCATGSTAAAGGAGCTGCAGTATGACCAACAAGTCGTGGACAAGATCTTTCCCTGCCTGGAAAACTTGCTGCACATCCACAGTCACTTTTTCCAGCGGATTCTGGAAAGGAAGAAGGAGTCACTGGCAGACAAAAGYGAAAAGAACTTTGTTATCAGGAGGATAGGTGACATCCTAGTGAATCAAGTAAGTGCTGGAAAATGTTTGCAGTTCTGAGAACACAGCTGGAAAACAGATGCTTTTCCTTCCCTTCTGTTTGTGCCTGTCAGATAAGCACAGTGATGGCACCTTTACTCCTCACACATGTAAAAATCTCTGCCTCTGCTTTTTGAAGCACTTTTTGCTCTTTCAGAGACAGGGCCACTGTTAAAAATGAATTTAATTCATTTTGTGGGAAAGAGGAGTGTTCACGGACAGGCACAAAACAATTTGACCGCAGCCTGAAGCACAGGCAGGAGCTCACAGCAAAATATGCTCCGTGTATTTCTTGGCTGCATTACTGGCCTGGTGTTTAACTCGGGGTGGATCATTTTACTTTTTTTTATCCACAGTTTCTGTCTTCTTTTTGCCATTTGACATTTTGCTATGTCTGTCTTGACTTTTTTTTTTGTTGTTCAGTGTAATCCCAAATTTTGCTGTAGGGTGTGAGCTCGGTGAAGTCCCAAAATCAGCTCTTTACTGTCTAGAGATCTGTTTGCACGGTTGAGGATGCTTGGGACTGTTATAATTCCATCAAATCCTTCTGAGAGGCTGGCAGGCAGTGCTGGGATTCAGCCCAGGAGCTCAGTGTGCAGGTTGGAGCTGTGTGTCCCATTTTTTGCAGTTCTCTGGGGAGAGTGCTGAGCGCATGAAGAAAACCTACGGCAAATTCTGCGGGCATCACAACGAAGCTGTCAATTACTTCAAAGATCTCTACTCCAAGGACAAACGCTTTCAGGCTTTTGTCAAGGTAGGACCTGGCAGGACAGATGTAGCCCATGAAAAAAAAAAAAAAAAAAAAAGTGTGTCCTTCCTGCACTCTGGGGAGTGTTTTGCTACAGAACTGAAATTTTCATCTTTGTTCCTTAGAAAAAAATGAGCAGCTCCCTGGTGAGGCGTCTTGGGATTCCCGAATGTATTTTGTTGGTAACACAGAGAATCACAAAGTACCCTGTCCTTCTACAAAGGATACTGCAGTACACCAAAGGTAGRGACAGTTCTTCTATTCTAAGCACGTATTTGTTTGTCCAGTGTGAATTTTTTGGATCCTTTACGGCTGAAGCAGATTTTCTTAGCAGCTAATCCAGTCACTGTTGTCTCACATCACCCCARCGAGATAACTCAGTTTCATTGCATCCATTTAGGATTATTTCTTTATTTGTTCCTTGATTTAGTTGTTGTAAGTCTGTAGCCAATTATGGAGCAGCATGCTGAGACTCCAAAGTTTCCCAGCTTGCTTTTTTTTTGGTAATGGCTAAAATATGTGATTAATTTGTGCATTTCATCTGTAGTGTCCCATATACAAAATATATTGGAATGGTCCCCAGCCTCAATTATGTGTATGTAAAAGATTCTGTGAAACTCTTTAATGGGGAAAAATATCTCATTTAATTATTCAAAATTATAGTATGGGGACTTGAGAGAAAAGGAAGGAACGAAGTAAAATTGGGAAGTTAGACAGCACAAAGTGAAATTGAGATCTTTCTGTTTCTTTTCTAAAGAAAATGAAGTGGAACATGAAGACTTGACTCAGTCATTAAACCTCGTTAAAGATATGATTGCTGCAGTCAACAGTAAAGTCAGCAATTACGAAAAGAAAATGCGTCTTGGGGAGATTTACAACCGGACRGACAGCAAGTCCATCATGAGGATGAAGAGTGGCCAGATGTTTGCMAGAGAGGACTTGAGGCATCGGAAGCTCATCCGAGATGGTCCTGTTTCCCTAAAAAGTGCAGCTGGCAGGTTAAAAGGTAAGGCTTTCCTGCCTTCTGCTGTGCAAGGACTGAGCTCACCCTCTCTGCGGGTGGGATTTGTGTTTAGTTTGGTGCCTYCACCCTTTTTCTTTTCTTCTGCTTTGATAGATGGTGACAGCAGYTTTCCTCTGCTGTACACTCACTCCCCATGGCATTTCCAGTTCCTTGTGTGGGTTCTGGGGTGATGGAGAGCTGCCTTTCCTCCTGGTGGCTGTGACACCACAGCCGAGGAGCAGAGCTGCTCTGGGATCCTCTGGACAGGAGGGCACGATGGGGCTTCAGCTGCCCACAGCAGAGTCACATCTCTGTGCCTGTGCCACAGTTCCAGGAGTTGTGCTGGTTTAATCTGGAACCCAGCCTCAGCTTCCCAGGCCTTTCCTTTGCTCCAAGGGCTGCCCAGGCTCAGCATTCCCATCCCAGTTTCACTGGGATCCAGGGASATATCCCAGGAATTTGTTCCTCTTGAACCTCTTGAGCTGTTGAAACTGTTGAGCAGAGATGTCCCTGTCACTGCCCYTGGTGTCCCTGCAGCTGCCTCTTGYTGGGTCAATGTTTCCTTGAGTTGATTTTTGCTTATTATCAAGTAGAAGTAATTCCCTTAAGGTGCTGTTCACTGAAGATCTCCACTGAATTAAACACTAAATCTCCCAAGCTGGGACCGTGGTAAGAGCAGTAAGAGCAGACAGGGCTRTGCCTCAGGCTTGGCAGGAAGGCTGGGTTTCCCTTCCTCCCTCGAGCATGAAGTGATTAAATTACACTCTGTGGGCATGAATGGGGCCCGGGAGCCTGATGCCGTGCTGTGCAGGGAGGTGGTGATAACGTGGAATTCCATGTGGGGCATGATTTATTTCGAGGTTTTGGAAGCAGGAAGTTCACAGATGATTTCTAGGCACCAAGACTACTGCTGCCTTTAGATGGTGGATGAAGCAAGTTCTGCTGCTGTTGTGAAATCCTGTGATAAGCACAGGCTCCATTTGCATTTTTCTTAGTCACAGAAATGCACAAACATGTCTGTAATGCAAATTCTCAGGGGAAGTAGGTCCTGCAGGCAGGATCTAGACCCAGGGAGGGAGAGTAGAAAGTTTATATATTCAGGTTATTTTGTGGTATTTGAAATGGAGCACTGAGATTTATAGGGAGAAATTTTACTTGAGGGTTTTAGCATTTCCCCTCTTGCAAAGTGCACGGAACAAGAGAGAAATGGAGTCAAATGCCACCTTCTGCAAASCTCCCAGAGCCTGGATTTCATTTTGCAGCCTTGCTTAAAGTWTAGTGGTTCTTTTATCTGGAATGGATTCTGTCTTCCCAGAACAGACTGGAAGGATTTACCCATGGGATGATTTAAGTTTTTGGTTTGCTTCCTCTCTGTCACAAGATTTCCCAAGTACATTACACAAAACCTCTTTGTACGGAGGGGTCTGGGTGGGGCATTACACTTGGTAGTTGCTGTGCARTTTTATGATATGTTATTAGGAGACTTGGAAGGCTCTATGTGTACTCTGGGAAAAGACTGATTTAAAATCCTCTCTTGGCTTGAGGTTGTGCTTCCTCCTCCCGTGAAAGAAAGCCAGGTCCTGTGTCTCAGGCAGGCTCCCCTTGGAGCTGACAGGAGCTGTGTTTGTCTGAGAGCAGAATTACTGGTGGCTCCTGAAGTCAGTATTTCCTGGGAAAGAAACTGCAGCTGACAAATGTTGTTATTGCACGATAATTTACACCCCGCAAACCTCTCATCAAGAGAACCATAAAACCCAAAACTTCCTGCGCAGATATTTTGCTCGAGGGCTAAAATATTGATTGTTGGAGAAGAYAGAGCTTCTATTGAATTAACATCTTTGGTTTTCACTGTTATGCCCATGTCTTAACTGGCAGTGGTTGGAGAGGAGCACTCCTGTTCCCATGGATGAGAGCAAATCCTGCAGGATGCAAAGCAGGGCAGAGCTAACCTGACCTGGCATCTCCAGGAGCTGCCCCTGCTCCTCCTGCTGACTGGGAGGTTGCTGCTGCTTTCAGGATTTGCAAAACCAGCCCTGCTGCTCCCCAGCACTGGTGTCATTATGAGAAATCCATTCCAGGGTGGGTTGTGTGGTTACACTGCTCTGGTGTGCTTCTTCTTTTGCAGAAGTCCAGGCTGTTCTCCTCTCTGACATGCTYGTGTTCCTTCAGGAGAAGGACCAGAAATACGTCTTTGCCTCTCTGGTAAGGCTTCAACCTTTTCTTTTTCTTGCTTTTCTACATGAGCTGTTGTGTTGTGCAGCAAACCCAGTCACTGCCTGCTAAACAACTTAATTTTCTCTCCTGGAACATTTTTGTTTGCTGAGCAGACTGGGTTCTTTTTGATGGGAAAACATGTCTTCATGCCCCACCTCCCCTCCCTGCAGCTCCTTGGCGCAGCTGATAATTGGCCTTGCAAACCTGCCTGTCACTCGATACACTGTGCTTTGCAGTTTGTGCACACTGGAGCAGTGATTGGGGTGGGAGGGGGGCAGGGGATAATGCARACATTGTAAAAATAAACCTCGGCAGAAGCAAATGTCCAAATACACTGAAATCAGCTATGGGGGAGGCAAGGTGAAATGCCAGGGCAGTGCATTCAACAGAACAGCTTGAAAATAAATGTCAGAGAAATATATTTGTAATGTGCAGGAGCAAAAAAACATTAGCTTTGAGGGCAGGCTCCTGAAAAGGGCTGGGTACACTGACCTGCTAAAGAAAACCTGGTGCCTAATGGAGTCTGCTGGGCTGTACCTTCCAGGCATGGTCTAGACTGACTAAACCTTGTGACCTTTCCACTCTCTGAGCATTTTGAAAGCTGATAATTTGTTATTCCAGTTCCACCAACCCTCTGCACGGGCTCAGTGCCCTACAAGGGGGAAGCTGATTTGTATCCCAGTGCTGCCAGTGAACCAAATCAGCCTGGTTTGGCGTGTGGTACAATGCACAAAGGGGCTGAGTGGTGTGCAGATGACACAGCAGCCTGGGGACGTTGTCACCCAGCAGGCTGATGACACAGAGACCATAGCACAGTCAATGTCATCTCACACATGAGYTGTCACACAGGAGTCAGATGGGAGCTTCTGAGAGCAGCAGAGTTTTTGTGGGATTTGAAAACAAGATTTTACTCTATCCTGTGAGTGAGGCAGGCTAGCAAGCTGCACCAAGTGCAAGGAGCTGTGATATTAGTGACAGGGAGAGTGTGGGCAGTAGGAAATGAGATCAGAGCAAAATATGGTAGAGTTCACAAAAGCACAAAGTCAATTTGAAATTAATTCTCTCTTGTAAAGGAGTGAGGTGAAATTGCTTTTCCTACAGAACTGTTAGAGGGAAGCAAACCCTTCCCTGTTGTTTGACCCTGTTGAAATTATTTGGTTTTTTAATTAGCCAATAGGTTCAGAAAATGTTTACAACCTGAAAGATGTAACTAGGGTTTATCAGGACCTTTTCAATGCCAGTTTAAATCAGGTAACCAGCACCCTTCACTTCCTAACCCGTTTCTTTTCATCTGAAGGACCAGAAATCCACTGTGATCTCTCTGAAGAAGTTGATCGTACGAGAAGTGGCTCATGAAGAGAAGGCTTTGTTCCTGATCAGCATGGGTGGAAAAGATCCTGAAATGGTGGAAGTSCACGCCAGCTCCAAAGAAGAGCGTAACGGCTGGATCCAGATCATCCAGGACACAATGAACACCATGTGAGACACCCAGCTGCTCTTGGGAGGCAGGGGTGCACTGGTTGTGTTCCTGTAGTAATTGAGCCTTCTCTCCTGTCCAGGGATAGAGATGAAGATGAAGGAGTCCCTTGTGAGTCTGAGTTTGAAAAGAAATTGTCCGATGCGAAAGTGAGAGGACTGAAAGGTAAAATCTGCCTGGCACAGAGCTGGGGAGAGGTTGTAGAAAAATATTCGTGTTTCATGGGGAGAACTGTGGCTTTTTTCAATCCTGCAGCCAGCAAACAGCTGCAGTCCTGGTTTGCAGCTCATCTCCCKTGCATTATTTATTTTCTGAGCCTGATGGGTGCCGCTGCTGTGCTGCCAAACCCAGCACATATTGTCAGGCTCCACTAGATGGGGCCAATACCTCAGCAATCTCTCCCGTTTCCTTGCCAAAGCTTTTATTTTTCTGTCTTCATCCCTGTTTTCTGTTCACCCTCCCAGAACAACTTCAGCAGAAGGATAAACAGATTCTGCTCTTGCTGGAGGAGAAGACGAAGATCTTCCGGGACATGGCAGACAGTTCAGTGCCCGAGGAGATGCCAGGCTCCAGGCTGCTCTTCAGAGCCAACACAGAAGAGGCTCCAAAAGGAGAGGCCATCATGAAAACTGCAATAAATGAAGGTGGGCATGTCATGTGATATGAACAATAATTGGTTGCCTTCACTGAAGGCATCAGTTCTCAAGCAGCAGTTTTGCAGGGGAAGTCTTTGTCAGAATAACAAGGAAAAACTGGTACTCATGGTATTGTCTAAGGGACAGGTCATGGGGATCAGGAAAAAAAGCAGATATTGAGGGGTGTTGAAAGAAGGCAGAAAAGTCAGCACAAAGAAAAGCATGCACTGAACTTCCTTTGGGGTCAGGAGCAGTATGGCATTTATCTTTGGCTGAAATTTGGGCCATCCAGGCTTTTTCTGTGCTTCAGTCTAAGCAAGATATGAGATTGGGGCTTGGGTTCTGTCAGGCACTTGTGGTGCCTGCAAGGGACAAGCAGGTCRGGTGACAAAGGCAAGGGTAGGTGGAAACTCGGGCAGCTTTCCAGTATGATCTTTGGAGAGGCTAAAATTATTAATGCTGTTATCAGAGCACATCAGGGTTGCCTGGAGGAAGAGAGGGAGGTGTAAGCCTGTGCAGAGCTCCAGGAATTGGTGTTATTGGTCAGACTGAGTTGTTGCAGGGGYAGTGTGTACTGTTGATATCATTGTCAGAGAAACATGGATTCTTGGTACAGCAAAGACTCTGTTAAATCTGAGGTGGGCTTGAACAGAGGTATTGTTGCTTTTCATCAGTTGAACTGCTGCAAGACCTGGTGAACAGGAGCCTGGGCACTGCCCTCGGACAGCAGGTCAGCAGCACTGCCATGGATCAGGAGGGAGGAGTGGGCCCCATCTCACTCCCCAGAAGGGCAGAAACCTTTGGAGGATTTGACAGTCATCAGATGAACGCCTCCAAGGGTGAGTGGTTCTATATGTGCACATCAGCATTTGTTAATAATATGCATCCAGTCATATCCTCTTTCTTCAGAAGGACTTCAGCTGGTGGTTTGGGTTTGGTTTGGGTTTCACAACTCTCCAACAATAGTTGATARATTAAATCACAAATTAGGAAAATGRTGGAATGATGGTAGCTGAGAACCTGTGGCTACACCAGGGTTAAACATCTGAACTCTTCACTCCTGTCTGTGCTCTAAGTTATACTTGCTATTTTACTTAYGTGCCACATGAAAGCATTTGGCTTCTCAATAAATGAGTTTCTTCATGTTRCTATTGTAATATCTACAGCTCTGTTCTTTGTTCTTCACTTTCCTTCCCAGCAGGAGCCTCATGCTCTTGCATTTACAAATGGATGTGGATATTGCTGAATCAAACACCTTCTCCCCTGTCTCTGYTCTTTATGCATTGGTGTTCCACCTACATCTGCATGTGTTATGCCTGCAATTAAGTCTCTCCCAAAGAAATGTGTGACTGCTTACTTCAGCTGCATAGTTGGCTGCTTYCCAATGCCCTCTTTCTTTGCTCTAGTCATCAGAAACTTCGCTGTCCTCAAATTCCTTTCTCTGTGGTCTCGCTCACACTCCCAATACAACCAGTTTTGCTGTGCTAGTGTCTGTCTCAGCACTGGGATTGTTGGACCTCGTCTGACCTCCTCTGTTAAAGGAGCAGGGTTAGCTGCAGACAGTCAGACATCAGAACTATGCAGAGGCTTCCCCAGCTCTGTTGGAGAGCTGCAAAGTCCTCTACGGGCCTTGTCATCATCATGACAAATATATTCACAGTGCAGGGGTTTGCTGAGGTTTGTTCCTCTTTCTGTTGCAATGGTGAATGGGACAGRCTCAGGCTGTTTGTTGCCCAGATCTAAGTTTTCTGTAATTGCAGGGTCTTAGGAGATTATGGGAAAAGAATACAGGGTCTGTTTGTTCAGCTGGAGACCAGGAGCTATGAAACCTGGCATTCATCTCYAGTTCTTCTGTTCACAACCTGTGAAACCTCGGGCAAGGCTTATAACCTGACTCCCCTTCGTTCTCCCCTCCAGCAAAGCAGAAGGGAGGAGTTTCCTCCTGCAGAGAGGTGGAAGGTCCCAGGACGTGGCACAGGAGAGCAGGTCTGTTAGGAGGACTTGAGGGTCAGCCTCKAACAGCAAAGCCAGCCTCGGGGTGGGGGGAGGAGAGGGCCCTTGCACCAGGTTTGGTGTCCTTCACACCCATGCAGGTTCAGGTGTGTGTAAAGTTTTTTATTTTCAGGAGTAGCAGAAGGAAGGTTGCCACTGCAGGTGTGGGTTTTCCCCATGGGCTTCACCTCAKCTGGCARGGGGAGACAAGAGTCTTGGCAAGARCTAGAGAATGGAAGGTCTGTGTGGCTCTTTTGTGCAGATGGGCAGCACAAGGGGAGGGTCACAGCCCTCCTGTCCCCACAGGTCAGTTCAGTCCTGCTTGGCAGCACTGATACAAACCTTGCAGGGGGAAGTTAGAAAGAGAAGCCCAGTGTTCCTTTGAAGATGCAGGCATCTGATAGCTAAGGTTAATGATAAATTGTTAGCCTAGAATTACACAGGGTGTTGCACAGCAGTATCTGACCCAGATGTAAATTAACTTGCACAAGAGAGRCATTGAAACTATACCTGCAATAATATACCCTGATATGATTCTGTTATCATCCTCCATCTGCTCTTATGCTTCCTCATGTCTTCTCAGCAAGTATTCTGTGGTGGTAGACAGCAGGGCAGGGGCTAGACAGAGCACCAGTTAATAGCAGAGTGCTGAATTTATCAGCACGTTCTCTGAAACCAAAGTCAATCCTAATCTAAATTCACATCCACTTTTTCTGGAAGTGCTGACGTGTTCCATATATTTAGGGCTCAAATGCATTTAGTTAAAATGTCAAGAGCTCTGCGTCCGCTTTTGTGGARCATGTGAATTTCCTGTATTAAATTTCTCAGACTTTAGCAAGTCCATCTCTGCATTAAAATGCTGAATAACCAATGTCAGTGCTGSCTTCTTCCTTTAGGTGGAGCGAAAGATGAAGGCGACGATGCTCAGGACCTTCGGAGAACAGAGTCAGACAGCATTTTAAAGAAGGTACAGCTTTGTGTGTCTGCCTGAATTCAGATTCCAGGAGTGACAGTTGTAGTCTTGAAAAATGCCTGAAAATTTCATGACAATTAGATACACCCCTAATAAGTTAAAAATAAAATAAGATGTGAAATATGCAGCCAAAACCACTGACTTGAAAAGCAGTGCCAATCAGTTGTACTCCTTGGTGGCACAGGCTAACTGCCATCTGTCTGCAGGTCAGCCAAAGCATGTGTTTAATTAGSCATTGTTACTGAAATGATAAGGTCAGCTGCAACCTTGCACTTCTTTCTGGGGATCGATCCATCACATAACTGCAAAATAATACCTAATTTACATTTGATTGTATATGTTCTAACCTCCTGAAAAAAACATGCATGAATTCTCCAAAAAATGGAAAGTGGGGGAGAGTGTTCAATGGATATGTTGTTAGTTCAGCTTCAGAAGACATTTACTRTGATTTTTCATTGTCCTCATATTAAATTTGTGATCTTGTCGTAGGGTGGAAATGCTAATTTGATGTTCATGTTGAAAAGAAATAAYGAGGTAAGAATTGATTCCATTGCTCAGCTGTTTCCTTCATTTAAGTGGCTAGAGAATTTGTCTCAATAGGTGATAATGTAGAAGAAAACACATTTAATTTGCTGAAGCACATCTAGACTTTTAAATGCATTAAGCTGAACCCACTGTGTCATTTATTTGTTTAACCTTGGATGTTTAGACAGGGAATTCACTGATTGTCATCTGCTTGCCAGCAGGATGATACGTGCTGATTATAAGCAGCAAGGGTTAATTACCACCAGGATGCACAGGGCTGTATTTATTGTGCATCTGCAGACAGAGAGAGTTTAATTTTATGTTGCAGGTGCAGTGAATTGGGGCAATTAGATTTCTATTCTCCCTTTGATACACATTCATAACTCCTAATTAGCATTAATGACAAAATGAGAAGCAGTTCTCTTAATACTGGCTATCATTCCACCACTGCAAATACTGAAGTGCTTTTTATTCTTCTTAAAATTAATCATAGGATATGAGAGATGCAGAGAAATTTTTAGCTAGGCTAAATTTAGGGATAGGGCATCACTCCAAAATGGTTTGCTCTGTACTGATGCATGAGGTATTTGCATTTCTGTATTTTCAGAAAGCCTCCATGAACACACCTGCTGCACTTGAGTGCCTGCTATAGTGCAGCTTTTCTGCCTGGTGGCAGTGGGTCTTGTGTGTRTCCTCTGGGGGAGAAGGCTACAAACAGCCACATCTGTTTTAAGATTGCTATTTTTTTTTCGCCCCTTGAAACCTTTTTTCTGGAATTTTTAAGTGAACTTCTGGGCTACATCCCAGTTACTCTGCTTGTTCTTGAGCAAGTTGAAGCTGTGGGAAATGGTTTGCAGAGGCAGCCCAGGACTCCCTGTCCATGAGGTGCCTCTGCAGATGTTCCTTCCCCTTCTGCAGTAACAGCTTAGAGAAGGGATGAAGGCAACGCCAGGCACTGCTGGGAGATGCCCAAGGGATGTATTGGTGCACTGGGGATTGATGCAGTCATTGCAAGGGAAGAGTGAGGAAAAGCAGGGTGCAGAGGGGTGGCTGTACAGCTTGCCAGACCCACGGRTGGGGCACAGAGGAGCAGAGGGTGCTGTCCACGTACCCCAGCACCCACTGAGATCTAACAGCAACGCTTCTGTTTTCTCGCAGCAGGTCCTCCAAACCATTACCAGCCTCCATAAGCTGCTCAGCGCTTTGCAGGTAGGCTTAGCCCTTCATCCTGCTCCCACACAYCGCTTGCCTGAGCTGCCAGTCGTGCTTTGCCCCTTGTCTCCCCTTCTCCTGCCACATCCCTGCACGGCTGGACACCTCACAGCCAGCTGGGGAATGAGCTGGATGTGGGAATGAGCTGCTACCTTAGGGAACCTGATTTTGGGAGGCTGCTGGGTGAGATGCTTTGCCAGCACGCTCTGGTAACCCAGCTGCCACGCAGAGAAGGGGTTTAGTACAGCCCCCTGAGGTTTTCAGGGCTGGGTCTCTCCCCACGGAGAGGAAGCTGCAGTATCTCTGTGTGCTCCCTCCCAGGGCGTGGTGCTGCAGCAGGACACCTACATCGAGGACCAGAAGCTGGCTCTGAGCGAGAGGGCTCTGAGCCGCAGCATCTTCCGGCCCAGCTCGCTGCTGGAGCAGGAGAAGCAGCGCAACCTGGAGAAGCAGCGGCAGGAGCTGGCCAACCTCAAGAAGCAGCAGACGCAGCACCAGGAGGAGAGGCGGAGGAGGGAGAAGGAGTGGGAAGTRCGGGAGAAGGAGCTGGCGGAGCAGGAGGCGCAGGTGGCGCAGCGCGAGGCTGAGGTGCAGAGGCTGAGGCAGGAGCTGGAGCGCGAGCGGGACGAGCTGCAGAGGAAGAAGGCGGCCTACCAGCTCGACCTGGAGGGGCTCCGCACGGCGCAGAAGCAGCTGGAGAGGGAGAAACTGCAGCTCAAGCAGGAGGTGGAGCGATGCGCTCAAATGCRGCAGGAGTCCGACCACAACCAGGTAAACGATGCTGAGGGCCAGGCTCCTGGGGAAGCTGATCCCTGCAGGGAGCTCTCAGCCCAGCCCAGCCCAACACAGAGGCCTGGGATCTCAAACTGGCTCTTCCCTTGCCTGTGATGGGCAGTGCTGCGTTTCTTGCAGCTCTGGAGCTGCTGAGGCACTGCCAGTGTGTGCTGGGCAGGCTGAGCTCTGCCCCCTTCCCTGGCTGTCCCCTGGAGGTGGCTGGCACCCAGGGACAGTGTCCTCGGTGATCCCAAGAGCTGACTCTGCCTGATGTTGGCCTTCATCCCCCGAGGGCTGAGCTCTGTGGAGCGGTCAGGTAGAGATGTCCTTCTCAACAACAGCCTGAGCCTTGTGGGTGATCTGCAGCCTCCAGGTGTCACAAAAACCACTTGTGAGGCTGATAATTGTAGGGCAAGGCTGTTTGCACACTGACATCYATCCCCAAAAGCATTCTCATCCAGCAAAGAGATGGCATTGCCCCTGTCCTGAAAAGACCCAGCACCTGCAGGTGTAGCACAGTGAGCCAAGGTCCCCAGCTCTGCTCAAAAAGGCTTCTGGGGTTTGGTGACTGCTCACAACAAAGGAAAACTCCCACACAGATCCTGCTTTGGCCATTTTTCAGCAAGTTGAGGTTTATTTCTTTGCAGTTGTGCAGCAGTCTGATTGAGGAGGGCAAGCATCATTGGCAAAACATGGGCTGAATTTAATCCTTAAGCCTGTTGATCATTCGTTTGTAACTCACTAATTCTGACTGTCATTTGCTTAAAGCTATAGCAGAATTAGTTTATAAATGTTGGATTACAGAGTGGAAATGATTTTGGGTACCTGAACGGCCTAATTGTGGAGCTGAGCAGTGAGCTATTAGAAGGTAATCACCAGAGGAGGCCCTGCWCCCTCCCACCCAGCTCCTGATCAAGCCACAAGTTTTCCAAGCAGCCAGTGAAGCTGTTCCAGCTCCAAGCACTCRTAGATGAGGGGCATGGATGCTGTGGGAGAGGCTGAGAGGTAAAATGCCTGCGAGGCCTAAGGGATTTGGGAGAAGGAAGCACCTTCTCAAGGCAGGTATCTGACTGACACGGCAGAGCTATTAATAGAGGGTTTGGTCAGGCTTTGTTGGGCTTGTTTTGATCTTCCCTTTGAATGTGCAAGCTCAATTACATCCTGAGACAGCCGTTAGGAAGAAAAAAAAAGATCAGGAAAAATGCTTTTGCTTTCATCTTTCGCTTGGGAAGGTTTCYTTTGACACATGGTGCTCCTGTGCCGTGTGCTGGCGTTCCCCTCCCAGAGAGGAACGCTGTTCCTTGGCCTCCTGCCACCATCTGTGTGTGCAAACGAAGCAGGGTGAGTCTTGCTATTGAGATCTTAGAGAATATTTGCCCTTGGCTTGTTGATACATAGCATAGTACATGTAGGAGCAAAAGATAGTGGAGTGTTAMTCTTTGTGTGCCTCGTTCCTTCATCTGGAACAGAGAGGGCTTTTCTCTCTGTGCTTTGCCTGGRTGGGAACAACATTTTACCTGGTGAATGGGCTGGATGTTCACAAGAACAGCTCTGTGAGTGGTCTGGGATGCACCTTTTCTATTTGTGTTCGTGCTAGCCTCTTACATGAAACACTTTTCCTTGCCAGGTATCAAATCTACATGAGAAACTCKCAAGAGTCTCCTCCCAGTCCAGCACCGATGAATCCTCCACGCAGAAGAGCTCTTCCCTTCCTAAACAAGGACACTTTGATGCGGAACTGTCTGTCTCCCCCAAAAGGAACAGTCTTTCAAGGACACACAAAGAGAAAAGCACTTTCCATTTGCTTAGCACAACAAACCAGACTAACAAGGCAGCTGAGGAACAGACCCAGATGCCTACTCGCCTCTTCAGTTTAGCCAAACCAAAGGAGAAGAAGGAAAAGAAGAAAAAGGGCAGGGGACATCGCTCCCAACAGTCTGGTGAGTGTCAGGGAGCTCACAGGGTGATTTCAGGGTTAGTAAGCTGGCTGTTCTCCTTCACTCAATGAACATGTGGAAGCCACAAAATCTAGCTTTAAATCAGGATGATGATGCAGGGATGGGGAAGATCAGCTGTGATGAGTAGAGTTASCAGCTCGAAGTGATTTTCTGTGGGCTTTTCTGCCTGTTCCACAGCCSCTGGGGTTGTCAGAAGGACACACATTCTGCTCCTTGCTTCTTCCCTTCCCCATCCCACCCTGAGCAGCCTCCATGGGCTGGATTCTCTGCTTCAGGGGGGAAAATGTCCTGCTTCAGTGTCAGTGCTTTCAGGAGGAGYTGCTGCTGGGATGCTCCTGGCTGTTGCAGCTCCTGAGGCATTGATGTCTGCTTTAGCTCTGTGGTAGTTTGGAAGTGATTCCCACAAGCCTTTGGTGGCCTCTCCCTTCCCCTCGAGCTGGTCTGTTTTGTCTCTTGATCTGAAAAAAAAGAGCATTTTTTTTTGCCTGGTAGTTTCATACCCCCTTAGGACTCAGCTGCACCTCAAACCTCTGACCCACGTGAAATTTGATCACATGCCCTGGGATGACCGGTTTCATTCATGCTAGCTCACTGATGTTTTCCAGCTTGTGCACAGGAAATCTCACCCATTACAAGGTGTAATTTCACAGTGGCTCATCAGGGAGCTGAACATCTTTTAAGGGGCCCAGTAGATTTGGCAGACAGCGGGGTTTCTGTGTGCACAGAGCCCCCCTCTGCCTGCTATATCACTGTGTTCCCATAGTGATTCCCACGTGTTGTTTTTGGGTGCTGCAGATTCTCACTCGTCAGAAGCACCTCCAGAGGGTGAGGAGATCTTCTGCTGAGCATGGACTGTTGCAGTGGTCACTCGTGGCATTGGCACCGTGGACATCTCCCTGCCTGGGACACAGCACGTGGCTGGTGCCTGCGCTGGACAAGCATCTGGAGGTTTTAAATAAAACTTGTTCTGAAGTCTGCTAAGTGGTGSATAAGGGCCTCTCTCCTGTGGTTTTGGGTGAATTCTGCCTGCACAGCACACAGGACCATCTCCCTGTGCAAACCCGGGGTCAAACAGATTGGGATGGATGTTGTATGTCTCTTCTTACTGCTAAAACATGAGAGAACATAGCCTTAAGGGGTCTGTGCCTTCAAATTCCCCTTTTCTGGGGAAAAGAACCAAAACCAAGCATTTAGCAAAAGATTAGGACTCTACAAATGGTGCGTACACACTGGCATATATAGATATACTGTATATATACATATATGTATCTATGTATCCACTGGGATATGCTGACAGTCCCTACAGCCAAGGTCCACCCGTGGGGATAGRTGATACCTGATGACTTTCAGGGAGTGTGTAGATATTAAATATCTTGCCCTTACTGCTCTGACTGTAGCCCAGTGACCTGCACACCCCTTTTGTGCTCATGGGATAGGGGCTGTTTGATTTCAAAAAGGTACCTAACACCAGGAAGCAGTAACAGCATTCAAAAACAACAACTCAGAGGAGAAAAAAAAAAATTCTAATCATTCTGAATGATTTCCGGGGGGCAGAGGTTTAAAAAGTCGGACTATTTCCAAAGTGAAGCAGAATACCATTGGGTATATTTCAAATGGCACAGAAAAGAGAATTTTGGTAGGCTGGTAAGGCAATCCCAGGGAGCCAGAACAGACAGTGTTTAAGTGGGAACAGCTGTAAGCAACATTTTTCTACACAATCTCTTTGAGCTGCAGCCCACTTCTTCCCATCCCCAAAGTAAAGATTCTCTTTTTGCCAGATTAAAGCTCTCCAGTTACATTCAACATCCCCACACAAGCCTGATGACTTAGTGGAAAGGTGTCTGTACAGTTGTTGAATACAGGGATGTGTTCAGAGKGGGAGGAGAAATGCAACAAGACACACTTAGCTCAAAAATTACCTTTCTCCCAAGCCCTCTCTGGAGAATTACCCGAGTGGATTTGTAAATGGTTACCAGCTTCAAAATAGGTCAAGGTTTTGCTCAGAGTTTGAAGCTGTCAGGTTCATTTTCTTTCCTACCAGTTTCTTTTCTTTGAAATAACAAATCATTTCTCTTCTTGCACTATTGTCTGATTGCAGTTTGTCACAAGCTGGTGACCCGCAGCAGTTTTCAGAGTTAGTGCTGATGAGTATGGTGGATGCTTGGGCTGGGCTGTCTTAGTGCAGGAACCCTGCTTGGTTTGGAAGCTCTCTACACTATTAAGACTCAAAGAAAAGGAGGAAAAAAAAAAAGAAAGGAAAAAGGGTTGAGATTTATTTTTATTTTGTTTTKGTTTTTTTAAGTATTATTTGGTGCTTGTTCTTAATTGCAAGCAGGGCTTGCAAAAATATTTATCTTTCATTTTATCTGAAAGAGTTTTTTTAAAAAAAGTTTACTTGGTTTTATTTTTTTATTTCTTTTTTACTTTTATTTGGGGGATGGTTTGGGGTTTTTTTTCTCTTTACCCCCTCCCCCCTCTTTTTTTGTTTTATTTTGTTTTATTTTCTTACCAAAAGGTTGGTAAACCAAACATTCTCATCTCCCTGTTTCCTACAAACCCAGGGTTTGGGCAGTGCTGCTTTGCAGCTCATGCCATGTCCAGAGTCACACAATTTCAGCTGAGAGCTTTCTTCAAGGCAGAGCTTTTTCAGGCCAAAAAGAGACTGGAAAAAGACACAATGACTTCAGACAAGGCTCCTCCTGTCAATTAGTTTCCTTGTTTAAATATTTTGGCTAGGTTTTCTCATTCCTTTTGGAGGCAAAGGAAAAAGCAAAGCATGGAGTGCCTTGCAGTGATGTGAGGGTCTGGTGCTCTCCTGAACGTGAGGGGAGGTGGACAAAGCATGTGCTGGTGGTGTGGTGTTACCTTTTCCATAAGAAAACSACCAACTTTGGAAAGTAACTTCTGCCCTGCTGTTTGTACATCTGCAAACATAAATGTGCCAAGCTGAAATTTCTGGAAACCAAAGCAGCGCATGGCTCGTTCACTGTTGTGTGAACAGAGATCAGGGCACTGGTGTGTCTGAGTTCCCCTCGGTCTGGAACAGCCTTTGCCACTAGAACTTTTCATTTTATTCCCCTGTGTCTTCCCCAGTCCCAGCACATGCTAAATTCACAACACAGCAGCATCCCATGGCTCTGAGATGTGCGACCCAGGGCAGYAGGGCTGAGTCTCTGCCTGGCTTCACCATCTCTCCTGAGCTGTGCAAAKCAAAAAGAGCATTCAGTGCCTGAAGTGAAAATAGTGTTAGCTGAGTGATCTCCCAAGGCCCCTGTGGTTCCTTGACAGAAACCATGGGTGTGAGTCAACCATACTGAGCAGAAATCCTGTGTATCAGAGTTGTTTGTGTCTCAAATTCTGGTGGACAGACCTTTGTCCCTGGAGGATGTCTGTTACTGTATGATTCACTTTTTTGGAATGAAGCCTTTCCTCCCACACTGCTTCCTCCTTCTTTCACCTTYAGGAAGGTAAAGGCTTGTTTTTATCTCTTCAGCCTTTTATTTTTTCCCTTCTCAGGCTTTCTTTGGAAAGGTTTGGCATAGGTTCCTGGAGTCAGATTGCTGCTCTGATCCCTGTAGGTTGTCTAGGGTTGTCTGCTGGAGTATGGTCCAAGCTTTACAGCACCAAAGCCTTTCCTCTTCCTGGCCTTAAAATTGCATTTGTTCCAGTTCCATGCCTGGCATCCATCCTGCAGTTATGGAAAGAAATCATGTTATTTCTTTTCAGCCCAGCCTGTTGCTATGTCTAGTTCCCAGAGCCATTCCCTTGATCCCATTTGGAGCACCCAAACCATCCTGTTTTGCATGGGGTTCCTGGGACTCAGAGTAGGTTCGAAAACATGTTTGAAGYCCATGTTGTTGGAGGGAGAAGAGGATCCTGCAGGGGCTCTTGGAGCTGTTTGTGCTGGTGTTTCATGGAGGGCAGAAATCAGATTTGCTTTTCTTGGGCTTTTCTTGGCCTGGTCTTTGTCACTGCCCAATAGGAGGGGTTTCAGTGTCCAGGGAAAATGAGAATGTTGGCTCAGATAAGTACAGAAGTGGCCAGTATTATCTGAGGGTGCCAGAATACCCAGAGCAGCTGCAGCAAAGGGTGTGAGACTCAGTGGAGTTGTATGGGGTTGGCCTAAGATTCTTTTAAATGGAGTGATCATCTCAACACGTAACTTGATGTCAGTGTGATGCCATAAAGCACTTTARAAGGAACTAGTCTTGCCCCTTTTAATTATGGTTATTTGGAGACAATCAATTTTGCCATTGCTTCCACCTCTGTATCCCAACAAAAGCAGAGCTACAAGTAGGTGTATTCCTGGTTTGGTTTGGTTTGTTTTTTCCCCAAGAAGGGAGGAAGCTTCTTGTGTTATTTTTAGATCAAAGTGGGTACGAATGTGATGACAGTCCCACTGCAGAGAGGTTGTGTGGCAAGACAAGAGAACTGGCTTGTGTTGGCTCAGGTATATCCCCCAGGAGAGCCCATGCTGGCTTCACCATCCCCGTCCTCACAGCAGGGAGGGAAGCAGCCCTGCCAGGGGTTTTCCCTCCATCTCCTTTTCCTTGGAGAAACTCAGAGCAAAGGAGATGTGAGGCCCTTTCCATGCCCCAAGGTATTTACTGTCCAGGCTGCTGGGACAGCTCCCAGGTGCCCTCCCCAGGGTAGGAGCTCTCACCCCTGCTGAGGGTGGACTCTTTCCTCTGGAGGTGACACTGCTGGGAATGTAATGCCATCAGCTTGTGTGGATTTGCATCCAGAGAGTCCGATCATCTTTGCAGCTTCCTTGAGTCACTAGGGTATCACCCAATTCCAATCCTTCCCCGTGCCATCGTGTCAGAAGAGGTTCTTCAGGTGCCAAATCCCAAGGAAGCTGTCTAGGATATCTATGGCACAGAGCAAGGGAGGACTGGGCAGGGGGCACAGGAGAGTATCTGCTAAAATCCCACAAAACATTCCTTGTTAATCAGAACTCTGGAAATTATTCTGCCTGCTGGCCAGGTTTGGGAATTTATCATAATTTAGGGCRCCCTTTCAAACAAAAAACCTCCCCTGCTGCTCATAGCTCTTGCTTCATTTGTCAGAAGGGGCAGCAATCCACGATTCTTCATTTGGTGATACAGCTAATTTTTAAATATAGGCGAGCTGAACTGGCCAAATCTCCTACACCTCGTGCTCTTCAGTGATGAGAAGTGTAACGCCAGCTCCTTTCCCACCTGCATTTCCAGGGCTCTGTGCCCTTTCCTTCATGCATTTCACTGGCACTGATGCTTTGCCCAAATATAATTCAGCTTCCATTGCTTGGGGGGAGGGGGGAACAGGATAACATTCACTGCTTTGCATACAGCTGTGAGCTTYGTATGTATTTAAGCTGTCTAAAGGTATCCATCCTTTCCATGCTCTAAAATAAATCTGCTATTTTCTTTATCAATATTAAACACTGACACAAGAAAAAAAAAAAAGAAATAAAAATCTATGTCCGGTTCAGTTCGCCTATGGTTAAAGTTTAGCCTGGTGTTTATTTTGTACTAATATGGAATGCACTTGAGTAATTCCCAGAACGTTGAGGTGTATTATAATAACCTGATATACCTCTGCTTTTGGTTTGTTTCTTATTAAAAAAAAAAAAAAAAAAAAAAAAAAAAAAAGAAAAAAAAAAAAAGCTTTGCATTTTCATGTTGAACTCGTAAAGAAAAAGAGTTGGGAAAGATTTTTAAAGAAGAGGGTAAAACCTAATTGCTGTATGTTAATTTGTAATTATGTAAAAAGTGAGCAGGTTATTGACTGTAAAATTCTTCAGTTTTTCTGTAACTTGCCAGAAACCATTAGGTTTTGTAACAAGCTTTTATTTATCTTCCTTTTTAGTTATCAGTATCAACCTCTTGTAAAGTCATTCTTCCTCTAAATAAATTTGATTTTAAGTCTGAGTTTTCTGCCTGATTTATTCCCACACCTTTGGTATTTCTGCTGTTGACTTTTTTGCACCAAGGCTGAATGAAGAGCACTAACCCCAACCTGTAATCAAATGTTTGCATTGCCTTTATCATCTCTGTTCCAATTTGTACCCACTGGACTCTTTCACTTATTTTCCTACTCTTAGCAGATTTGCATTTTACTGAAGGACAGATGGCCATGTGATATTCCTTGGGTTTTTGTCTCTGCACACACAGGGCTTTTCATCCTTATACAGGAAAGGGAAGTGTCACAGCTGTTCTCTCTGCCTTTTCGGCCCTGTGAGTGAGAATAATGGGAGTCTGGGGGCTGCATGTGCTGGCAGAGTTTCTGTAACCCCCTAACATTGCTCTGTATCTGACAAATCCTAGACATGCAGGCTTTTGGCTTGTTTGGCTTAGGACTAGAGGTGTGCATATCACAGGACAGGGTCCACGATGCTRTGTGCTTTTCCTCCCTCTCCAGCAAGGAGAGACCCATCAGAAATGCTGTATCCACCATCCCTGGGGAGGTGATGCAAGGAAGAAAATTCTCCTCTGTGAGGGTAATGAGGCACTGGAACAGGTTGCCCAGAGAAGCTGTGGCTGCCCCATCCCTGSAAGTGTTCAAGGCAGGTCAGACAGGCCTTGCAGCAACCTGGTCTAGTGGAAAATTCCTTGCCTGTGGCAGGAGTAGTGGAAAGAGGATCTTAAAGTTCCCTTCCAACCCAAACTATTCTATGATTCCATGATAAGTAAGGTACATGGTGTTCCCAGTGCCTGCAGGCATCGGTCCAGGCAGGAGAGRGTGCCAGAAATACAGAGCCATGACGATGAGAAGTCACAGAGGACCACGGTGGCTGGAGTTTCCCCACCACCATTTTCTGCTACAGGATCACGGCTGTCCCTGTACTGCCAGTCCTGCACAGACTCCAGCATCCTCTCCCCAGGCAGGAGCTGCCCCTTCACCCCCTGTATATTGATTTTCAGACAGAAGAATTGCTTCATTTCCATTTCTTACTCCACTTTTCTTCAGAGCTACGAATGGGAAGGAGAAAAGATGCTTGAGGACCATCCGMTATGTATTCACAGAACCAGAATRTCCTGATTTGGAAGGGMCCCACWAARATCARCAACTCCWGGCCCAGCACAGGACAGCCCCAAGAATCAAGTATTGACCAAAACTTCAGGCTGTTGSCTGCTAGGATCAGGGAATGCCAACCCCCGTTACTCAGCATTGCACTCACTGGGATTTTTCACCTCCTCTCAGCTGTGCCGCACATGCTGTTCCTAAAGTCACCTCGGTGTACCTGAACCTCCACCCTGTCACGCAGCACTTGCTCCAAGACAGGCAGCCCCTGGGTGTGAGACAGGAGATGAAAGAGCTCRTTTATCTCGACGGCTGCTCAGGAGTCCTGCTTTTATTTGCATTCCCAGGCRTCCCAGCTCACCTATTTACTGAAGTTGAATAAAAGCCTTCGCCCAAACTGTCGGCTCCTGGGTATGGCTTTCRAAAAGCACGTTTTCCTGCGGCCCCTCTTGGCTCTGCAACCTGGATGCCTGACAAAAGCAGCCCTTGGGGCACCCCCAGCCTTCACGTCGCTGCAGTAAAACATCAGCAGCTGCTGCAGCTGGCTGGGAATGGGAGAGGCTGCTGTGATACAGCAGGCATCGGTCACGGGAGGTGGGACAGCACGGTTACTGATGATAAACCACACGTGGAAAACCAAATCATCTCTGATTCAAGCTCCTGCCAGGGAAAGGCTGGGCTGCAGAGCAAACCAGGCACTCTGAGCTTCTCTGGTCCTGCACAGTGCACTCCAAACCCCGCTGTTTCCATTGGCTGGGGGTAAGTCTGGGCAGGCAATACAAATTGCCTTTGGCAGAGGAGGAATTAAAGGACCCTGCTGCTCCAGGACACCTCCATGTATTAATTTGACTACCCTTAACCAGCTTTCCACAATTTAATACGCTCACCATTTCCGTGCTCTAAGCCATTACGGCGCTGCTAAGATAATAAAATGCATGTTCTGTCCAGGCCACGTGGATCAATTAATTTAGATGATCCCAAGAAAGAGTGATGGGTTTCTAAGCATCCCTGCTTTCTTGCCCAGCCCGGCCTTTCCTGAGAACCCAAAGATAGAGCAAAAGATCTCTGTGGGTTTGTTGGATGTGGTTGGGTTTTCACTGGCACAATGTCCTAAAAGCAGTCACACAGGATCCTTAGAATGCGATGGGCCTCTAAATTGAGCATTGACAGACACAGAAGAGGCACTTTGGAAATACACTTTAGTGATATCTTTAACATTTGCRTTATCTGCATTTTCTCTTCTCTGCCCTTGCTGGGTCCAGTCCTGGCAKTGGCTTCAGGGGGAGAAACTGGAAGTYTGGGAGGACASAGGTGYGAGCTGGGCTGGGGCTTGCACAGGCCACTCATTCATGGAGGGCTTATTAAGAGAAGGAAAGGCAARCCCCTAATTAGTGCAGCGAGTGAGTGAGATGTCTTGTGATCAGATACAAGGTGAATGGTAAAGTAATGACTTACCTTTGCCACTGAAGGCACCTGGGGCTTGTTAATTTGCTACAGGAATGTTAAATGTAGGAAATGTCTTGATTTTTAGAAAGTTGAACCATGTAAAAATCAAGTGGAAAATAGTGTTCGACACTATCAACCGATATGAGCAGCCCAGCTCTCACAGGGATGGGCAGACGGTGGGTGCCCCTTGTGTCTCCCCTAAAGCAGGCTTTGCTCCTGTTTCTAGGATGCCCAGAGGTGCACGTTCAGGGCTGGTTCCCCCTGCCCACTCTCCCTGCATTCTGGAACAGCTCTGTATGTCACTAGAGAGGGGATTTGTTTCCAGTCCCTGTACTCTCCTCCATGCCTTGCCCCGATGCMGCTCAGCTGGCAATTCCCAATCCCCCTTGACCTCTTACCACAGCCTGGYGTCTCCCCCTCCGGCGTCTCCAGATGCTCTTTCTTTCCCCTTTCCTTGCACCAAAGTGCTGCTTCTCACCAGCCGCATCTTTCCAGCGAGCCTAATTAGACAGGAGCCTAATTAGAGCCGAGCAGGAGCGGTGAATCATTAGCAAAAGCCTGTGGGAAGGCCGGGAGCAGCCGTGATGCCRGCGGGGCRGCAGCGTGGGCAGCGGGGCYGGGGGGCAGCGGGAGCTCTGCTGGRAAGCAGCAACGGGGAAGCAGCTCCTGTTTGTGTGTGCGTGTGTAATTCCTCCAGACGTGACCCAGAAATGGGGCGAAGGGTGTTTGTTCGCTCTCCTCCTGCACCTGCCAGGGAGCACAGCGGGCCCCAGTGCCGCCGGGCTGGCCTCAGGGCAGGGGATGGCCGGCCATCCCACCCAGACAGGGAAGGTGGAACCAAAAGGGCTTTTCCTGGTGGTCCTTAGGCTTTTTTTCTCCTTTTTAAAATTTCTACTCGTGCCTTTTAACAACCAGCTGTCCCCTGTGAGCTCTCTGGGGACAGGCTGCCTCTAATGCGGCTGTGCCAACAAGGAGCCCTGCTGCGCTGGGGAAGGAGAGCAATGGCAGCAGTAAAGGGCAGAATTGTTTATCCCCAGCCAGTGTTTGCTGGGGATAAACCCACAGGACTGGGGATAGTTATGACACCAGGAATGAGAGACAGGCCTTTCTATCAGWCATAAAATCACATTTTGGCTGTGAGTGCCAGCAACTGCTTCMCAAGCACAAGTGGTGCCACCTTGGCCTAGTCATGGACGGTGAAATTGTGAATTCCCCTCAGCCTCAGCTGGGAAAGGAGAGCTTCCCAAGACACCCAGCACTGAAAAYGCACAAACTACTTGATTCCTGAGCTCTGCAGTCCTCAGAGACTGTCAGGAAGAAAGAAAGGCTCCGTTGGGTAGCCATGATCAGTCTTGTTGAACCCTTCCCCCAGCTTCATCTGGCGGGGGACGCCGGCACAGAGGGGCCRTTGTCTGTGAGCCGCGGCCGTCGGCGGCGCAGCGTGCGCTGGGGAGAGGGAAGTGAGATGTCCAGGCACTGACAGCATGAAAGCCAGGCTTTTTCCACCTAATTGGGTCTGTTATTCAGCTGAGAAACGCTGAATGGGTTGGGTGGGCTCTGGGCCTGCTGTTTTAGTGAGGAAGTCGGGACGTTGGGGCAAAGTAGGTCACAGTGCTGCAGAGCAGGGTGATGGATYTGCCCAGCAGCCGAGGATGGTAAATAAGGAGGTGATGAAATGTTAAAGAAAAGGGAGATTGTGAGGAAGGAAGAATAAATGAGYCTTGGCTATTCACTCCCAACAGGAGTCCCTGCTGTGGCTCCCACCTTGGGGCCCCCAGAACTGCTCTGCACTGGAGCAAGAGGGACTGGGCCCAGTTTAAATTCCCAGYTGGTTGTGGGGAGCTGGGGGCAAAGCTTTCTCCTGCTTTTTGAAGCTTAACACAAATCCTGTTTAGGGAGCAGCATTTCCATGCATGGCATTTTGTGAGCCTGGCCCTCTTCAGAGACTGAAACAGTTGTCTTTACCCCAAGGGGAAAGGTGCATGAGGTAATAGGAAAATAATTTCACATAGGATACATTGCAAAGAGAATGTGCAATGCTGGGRCATTAATTAATGTGCAGAAGATGAGAAGCCGTGGACATGAARAGTTTCTGCTCTGTGTGGACATGGATGAATTTGAAAGCACGTTGGATAGCTGGAAAAAAGTGCTCCTCTGCTCCAATTATGTGTCTAAATGCCAGAGTCAGCCTCTGGATGGATGTGGGGCTTCCTCAGACACCAGAGCTATTAAATCACCAGCTACTCTGCTTTTAATTGACTCTCATGACAAAGGGAGAGTGGACTCAGATAATTCCCTTCAGGGCTTCACTGCAAAACAGTATTATTTCAAGGGCAGCTGGGGTCAGGCTGGGACAACRCATATTTAAAACACAGTAAGGCACTATGAATTTCATTTAAAGAAGACATAGGAGCATCAGCCTTTTGCATCCAGGGAGGCTCAGCATGCACAGTCCCTGGGG